TTTTGAGACAGGATCTCACTAAGTTGCCCAGGCTAGCCTCAGTCTTCTGAGTCACTGAGATTCTGAGATTCTAGGCATGTGCCATTATGCCTGGCTTGTGTTATGATTTTAAATGATCTTCCATATGATAATGCCTGGTGTAATTCACAGGAATTAATAGATGCTCATTCACAATTATCTCATTTTAATTTCCCCATGATGATCATAAGAATTTGAGAAGGTTATAATGAAGACTTAAATATTTTACTTAAGCAATAAACAAATCACATAGCCTACACTCAAGAAGACATTGCATCAGAAGTTGGAGTACCTGCCTTCATAGACTGTAGAGCCTAGTGAAAAGATCTTCAGTTATAAGGATGGTGTCTGCCTTCACAGGTCTAGGCCAGATGATAATTACCAATTAGTGCACATTTCCCCAGCTACAAGGTCTAGTGTGCACATATGTCCTGTCTTTCCCCAATTACAAATAACTGCTACAATACACTAGTCCTGTTACACAGGATTCTTGCAATTTAAAGCAGAAGACAGAAACAAACTTTGAAAACTCTCCAACTTTTGGAGGTTCAGAATCTTTTATTCTTGTAACTTTTTTATGTGCCATATGTATACGTGTACATACCATAATTTGATCAATGTTAGTCTCTAGTAGCTTCCCTTAAATTACCTTTTCTCACTGGATCTTTGTAGGAGAAAACATTGCAACCATAATCAGCATTATGAATTTATATTGACATACTTTGAGTATGTATAAAGTGATGAACTCTTCAAAGAGACATTAAATTTTACCTTCTGTAACCATCCCTCAACATTTTAATCCTATCTTCAACATACTATCAATCAACCAGTGTTCCAGCTTATTTGTATGCTGAATGGCCTATTCCATCTTTGAACATTTGGAAATATTAGATAATCTTCTGTACACGATAACAGAAAACATTTCTTTCAAAAGTTTCTACTATTCATACTACACTTGTGCCAAAAGAACAGTGCACTCTCATGTGCAAGACCACCTTTTAAAATTTAAGTTCCTGTGAATTATCTTAACTGTAGGTCAAGTATTCCTAAAAATGACCCATATGCTATAAGAGCAATTATGTAATCTGAGCATTTTTTGGTGAATTAAGAGCATCAACGCAAATTCATT